AAGGTAGGCCCAGCCATTTGAAGATACGGAGCTAAATATGTAAAAAAAGGCAATTTTTGAGAGAACTAAGCGTCCGATTTAAATGATTCAAAGAACTTTCTGCTTGTCTTAACAAAATAATTGATTTTTGAAAAAAAAATTTTGTTCCAATTTTTTTTTTTTTTTTTTTTTTTTGTAGTTTTTTGTATATCGAAATATTTCAGATTTTATTTTTAATTCTGACTATAGTTCTAATATACTTTACAAATAATTTCAACTTTGCAATTCAGTTTATATAATTCTTATAATATTAGACAATGTTACAATATTTATAATAATCTATTTGAAAACATTCAATATTCCTCGAACATTTCGTTACGGTACGGGAAGTTCCAGCAATTTGCCTTAAGGCACGATGCCATAATTGCCTCAAGACAGAATTCCACTTACAGCTAGTTTCCTTTTTAGTTTATAAAACGCATTTTAAATGATATCCTTTCGTTATTAGGAATAACCATTGTTCTGGATAAATTTTTATTAAAATGATAAAAAATCTAGCGCAAAGTGCGAGGGTATTGTTTACACAACTTCTAGGTTATATTTTAAACTATAAGCATTTTTTATAAAATATCAACTTGTCTTCAGCAAAAACTAATAGGGCTTCTGTTCTGCACAATGCCAATACAAATCGAATGTTCTTTTATCATCGACAGAGGTCAACCTCAAAACCTGACTGCTTCTTACAGACTATGTTAATAAACAAGTTAAAATTTACCAATGATTCTAAAAAGTTGACTACCACTGCAATTGAGACTAATCCAATGTGTTTATGTATAATCAAAACTCTCAATACAATATTTTCTGATTACTACAACGATATGTGATTCTCAGAATTGATCTCTATCATGTATTTCCACCGACTGTGGAAAAAATACTGATTACTTAGATTATATTCACTGGGGGCGAAATGCAAGATTGGAAAATCGTGTCGGTGGGTGGTATATGCTTGCTTTCTAGTTGGGCGCGATATTATTCGGAGAAAATTACATGTGAAATGAGATCGTGATATATACATGTATTTTGTATATATGTAGGTACTGCCTATGGCACATATGAATTCACAGGTTTATATAGGTGATGCTGGAACTGCATCTTAATCTGCTTGAATTTTTATTTGTTGAAAGTAAGAAGAAAAAAAATTACCCAAGTATACTAGCATCATTGAACTTGTCTTGAAATGCTGGATACGTCTATGAAGCAATATTGGCAATTGCAATTTTGTAACATTAATATATCTCAACCAAGGAAAAATATTTTTAATTATTAAAAAATACTAAAAAGTTCATAGAAAGCTTGATGCAGATTTATGGTTACTTCTGATTCCTCATCCAGTAATAGAATATATCTTCACTAGGGATTCAGATGAGCTCAAAATTATACTTTATCACATTGTGTTTCTATTATATTGATAATAGTAATTGTGGTACCAACTATATGGAATTTTATCATATATTATTTATTCATCATATACATATTCTTCAGGCTATGTGAAGCAATTTCGACTCTATTATTTTTGGACAATCATTTTCGATTCATTGTTTATTGTTCGTCAAAGCGTTAATAAATAAATATATCTTAGAAGCAATGACAATGCGATATTCTATCTATAGTAGATGAAAAAACGTCTCTATTTCAAGGGGAATGCTCCTCAATTTTTGGGGGCTTTAATAGAGCAAAATGAAGACTAGGAAAGTTTTTTGCATTTTCTTTGTTCTTACATTTTTTTATTTTTTTCTTCTTTAGACAATTTTTGGATTTAATTTAGATGTCATAAAATTAATTTTAAATTGAATGTAAATATTGAGCAGTTGCTGAAGTCTATGGACTGTATTAAAAATTATACTAGCAGATTAATGACAATATTGGTTTTTATTATTATTATTAAATATTATTATAACTTGTTAAAAATACGATTGAACTGATAATATTCTTATTATATATGATCTACATTTAAATCTGCAGCAATTAGTAAGTTTAGTAATTAAATATAATAAAGAAATGTACATGCTTGTTGGTTTTCCAGCAAATAATAATTATGCAAAAAATAGAACCTAAAAACACAATCTGCACGAATCTTATCGTGGGAAAGTATCATATATTTTATATTTGTACAAATACCTATTCTAAGCATGTTTCATATGTTGAAACCGAGGTTGCAATAAGAAATTGTGCATATAATGTTCATACCTGTGTGAAAATATTGGTATTAGTGGTTTTATCAACAAAAAATGTTAAGATAACATATATAAATAATTGATAGATAATTCATTGCATTTTAAAGATGCTTGTTTAAAACGAAAAGCTGGTAACTGAAATAATAGATGACTTTTGAATTCCCAAATTGGTTGGTGATTATTTGAAAATTGATCAGAGCACTGTTTTACTCGTACAAAAGATGATGAGATTGATTTTATTTTTCGACAAATTGATTTATATATATATATATATATATATATATATATACATATATCAAATAAATTAATCTAAACATACTGGCATTGATTACAACTCTGTCAGATATATTAACCACATGGCTCCAGTAGGCGGGCGCTAATATTACTGCCATGAAGAAATTCTTATAGGAGTAATGAAATGCTTAGAATTCCTTTGATATTAAAATCTTATTTGAATTTTCAGGCTTTAAGTTAGACATTAGAATTCGTTTTGTGTAATTTTTTAATATTTGCGAAACAAAACAAAAATATTTCATTCATTTATATAAAATATTCAATTAGAGTACATAACAGATATTGCTTGATATATAATTGAAATGTCCAATATTAAAATATAGTTTTGTATAAAATTATTGCATAAAATAAGATACGATTGCATATAAATAATATCAGTACTGTATGTACTGATAAAAGTGTTGTTATTTGTTCACAATTTCTTGGTTTGTGTGCCAACAAACCGCAGAAAATCTACTAGATGGTAACTCAGAAAAAAATCTAATTGAATTGATATGTTTCTTGATGGTTTTTTATGCAGATGTAAATGAAAGTATTGATGCGATTACGTAAAGTATGTTAATTAGTTAGTTATTTCTTAATTTCTTTTTGATCTAGCGGTTAGAGCTATAAAATCCGAAGCTGGAGATCCGCTTTTAGACCCGCCTTGGACAGCCTAATGTCAAGCAGCATTGACATCCGTTTTTACTTATGAAACTTAGATAGGAATATGTCTATGAAAATATTTTTTCTTTGCGTTGCTGCATCAATAATAAATTCATTAGTATTACAAAACTTTGAATATATGATTTCATTCCATAGAGATAGGACAACCATCTATAAAAAGTCCATGACGTTCAAGAAATCAGAACATCATCTCATAGAACTCGTACATCATCTCATCTAACATCGAACTAGAAAGTTCTGATAGTTGTTAAATACATATGCATATGAAAAAAATGCATATTAAATTTTACCTTATTTATTTTCAGTTTTTCATTTAGAATACAGGTTCCCAAACTTGTTCGAGTCGTGGACCTCTTAGGTTTTGCCATGGACTAACTTATGAATACTAACTTTCAGTATTAAGCATTGAAAGTAAAGATACAAATACAAGTTAAGACATTTATTGATTTCAAAATTAACAAGGTGTGTTGTGATCCACTATCGTGGATCTCCAAAATTTGGTTTCGCTGACGTGGACCCCTTGAAAGTTCTCATGGACCCAAGGGTTCATTTGGACCACTTTGGGAGTCACTGATCTAGAATAGTGCGGGCAAGCATTAAAAAATTAAATGATGGAAATTAACTAATGTACAAATTCAATCAATGTTGCACTTAATTTTAAATTAGCCATCTTAATAGCAAACAAAACTATACATATACTTGAATTAAAACTTCAATATTTTTTCATTGATATAAATACTAGTGCACATTTTTTATCAGAAAGAATGGTTCATTTTGAACCAATTCAAAGTAGGTTCTATTTAAAGACCAGTTGTATAAATAAATTTTTAAACAATTACTTGCATCCATTGCATAGTTGGAATTATGCTTATAAAATCGATTAAACCTCCTAATGTTTTCCTCTATTACATTTTGACATGTACATATGATCTCTTTAAAGAATTCCACAGCAACACATATGAAGAGCTGCCTGAATTCAGTATTTCTCGCGGAGTTGATGCGATTATTAAACATATTGTCATCAGACATCATAATGTGTGTGTATGTTTTTTCCTTGAGAAAGAAATATGTAATTGTGATGAGTTAAAATAATTCTAATAAAGACTAAAGTATTTCTTACTAGAATGTGAGTTGTGTACTTGTTTTTCATATAGTGCGAAAGGATATTACAGTAAGTGATTTTTTACGATGTGCTCTACTATTTTTATTGCAGTAGTACATGACTACTATAATAATGGATTATTTATAATTCAAGATAAATTTATATATATATATATATATATATATATATAAATTAGGGTGGTCCTTAATATGGACATTTTCGAATTTCCTTGCTTCCAAAGGCTCTGAAAGTTTTAGCTCTTAATATTGTCTTTTAGATAGAGCGCAATCCAATCAAAGTTTTGTATGGAAATAGCATGAAAAAATTTTCAAAAATTTTTGCGGAGCGCCGTATTTTCAATAAAAAATGACACGAATTTTTACTTTTAATTCATTTCTCGCTAAATTATACTTCAATTTTTTTTTAATTTTAAAAAAATTTTCCATGCTATTTTTATACGAAGTTTGGTTGAATTGCGCACTATCTAAAAGTTAATATTAGGAGCTAAATCTTTCAGAAAATTGTTTTCTATCAATTTGGAACCATTTGAGCCCTTGGGAACAAGGAAATTCGAAAATGTCCATATTAAGAACCACCCTAATATATTTATATATATATATAATATATATATATATATATATATATGTATATCTGTGTGTGTGTTTTAATTTGTTATAAAAATTATATCATGTTAATGTGAGTTTGCTTAAATATCCTCAAAATTACTGATATTTTTTTACTGTGTGAAATTATAGAAATATGTAAGATATGTATAGAATTCTTCGAAACTTATCCTTCTCATTCTCATTTGAATTTAAATACATATTTTTATGAGAAAATGGTTATGATCTAATGGTTTCATATATATATATATATATATATATATATTTTTTGTAGAGTTCGAACAAGAATCCAAAATAATACAAAATAAAAAACAAGAAAAGTTTTAATAAACAATTTCTTTATTTAATTATTTGTTTAACAACAAATAATTAAATAAAGAAATTGTTTATTAAAAACTTTTCTTGTTTTTTATTTTGTATTATTTTTGGATTCTTGTTCGAAACTCTACAAAAAATATACACAAATCCAAGACTCTACCATTCAATATATTATATATATATAATAATACAATTTCTTTGGCTTGTAAGTAATGATGTAAAAAATATAGATTTTGGAAAAAGATAGCTGTGTTGTAAGGGATCAGATTAAATTTTACGATATGATTGGCGGATTTATAATATATATATATATATATATATATATGTGTGTGTGTGTGTGTGTGTGTGTTTGTTTGTATTTCTGAGTAAATAATAGGTGTAATTTTACATGTCAGAAAGTTTATAAACAAAAAACGCGTCTCGATGCATCTGTGTCAACAAGCCGCAAGAAAGTCAATTTGATTTTTATGTAGAAAATATTTTCTATTTATATTAATGCGTTCTCAAAAGTTTTTTAAGAAAGCAAAAGTAGAATAATGTTTATATGAACCAAGTTTATAACGTAATTATTGTCCAAATATTCGGTGAACCGCTTCGATGTTTTCTAGTTGTTAATTTTGAGACATTGTCAAATGTGGTAAGATAATAACACTGTATTTGTATTTATTTCTCTCTAAAACAATTAATCTCTTGATTAAACTATTAAATTTATCAGTTTAAATATTCAGTGGTATTGTGCTATTTTTTGGTACCAAATACGTTCCGGTTTAGTAGAAAAAATCGTTTCGGATTCCAGTTCACGATTCGGAAAAACAAGCCAGATGGTTCGGTTCAATCCCTTGTTTATAATATTTAAGGTGACCATAAGTCCCGGATTGACCGGGACACTCCGGGATTTCCACCATGTGTCCCGGGCTATTTTAAAAGCATGATTTGTACTGGGTTTAGATCTTTTGTGCCGGATTGTCCCGGTTTTTCGAAAATTAACAGATGAATTAACAAAAATTATGAAAAAAAACGAACAATGGTAATTTTTTCAAAATATTTGTGAATAACATTGAATAGAATATTATACAAGACTCAAATGCGCAAAAAAACACATAAATCTATATAAGATATAATATCATAGATGAAAAAGTACGACATATAATCGAATAATAAAGATCTTACTGTAAGTCCGCAATTCTTATAAAAAAATATATATAAAAAAACTGTTATGATATACCTCCCCCCAATCCCAGATTAGCATAACTAAAAATTGCAGTCTCGGTTATGACTTTGAAGAATATGGTCACCTTAATAATATTACACATATAAATTCGATAAAAGATAGAAAAAAACAACATTTTTATATATTTTTTTTAATATGTCATCTGTTTCTTGTTACCAGAAATGATCTTTAGTACCGGAACGTGTTCCTGTCCAAAAAAAAAGTAACATACCAACTCTCCGATAATTAATAAAACTACCGGTATTCATATGTAATACATAACTAAAAGAAGTAATTACAATCTGTACAAGTTTCTTTTTTCTTTTCTGTATTTATGCGTTTTTACGTACAGGTAACCCCCGTATAACATGGCACTTCTATAACACGGATTCGCTCTAACACGATTAAAGAAGTGAAACCATCCCCCTCATAATACGGTATTTTCGGGTTCGCATAACACGGTTTAAGAATTGAGGAAAGTTTTAATAAAATAAGAAATATAGTAAAACCTATGAAAAGCAAGCTTTTAATCTAAAATTAGTAAAATCGCCGTACAATAGCTCAATAAATGTGATGAAACTAGTGCAAAAGATAACTAATTTGACACATATTATTATTAGAGCGCGTACGTTCTATAGAAAATTTAAAAAAAAATCTTCTAGTAATCCTATCGACTTGAAATTTCTTGACTTTTCCTAAAATTTCATTAGCTATTGAACAATGAAAAAATCAGGACGAAAAAATGTACAGAAGGATAATTATAAGGATATTAACTTTTTTATACTTCGAACGGTCGGAGTGGTCTGTCTAGACCACTCATACATTTTGCATGAAATATACGCTTTTTGATATATGTAAACCAGTATTTTGTCTTTTCTCTGGTATTTTCTATTCAAACTGCATTTTATATATTCTTTGCTATGTGTTGTAACATGAATGCTAGTATTTTCACGGCGAGAGTTCCTTGAAAACCTACCAAACTTATTGGTCATCGCAAACATTGAAAATCGAATGAGTAATGCGCACATTATCAACAATTTTTCTACCCGTACTGCTTTCGAAATTTTTTTTGGCAAACCTGTAGTGAAATTATATTTTCAACTTGAATTTTTCAGCTCATTTCAAAGGCGACGCACTTCATTTCGTTTTCATTTGAATTTCACATTCATTTCGAAGGAGCCAAAGAATAAATATTGTTTTTCATTGATATAAAACAGAAAAATAAAAATAATAAAAATAAGCATCGATTTTTTTATATTCTTTGATTTTTTTTCATATAATATAATATAATATATATTTTTTATTATAAGCAAGTTCAACACATGCAAAAGACGGTAAGAAAAAGAAAAAATCAAAACTATAAATATTTACTACTAATAATCGTTAATACATAAGACACCAAAAACTCATTTATCCCATATAAATGCATGTAAAATGAATGGTGGTCCAGCCAGACCACTCCGACCGTTCGAAGGAGAATAAATATCCGACCGACGGAGGGTTAATTAAGTATTAACACTTACTTAGTACATATATTGTATTTTCAAGTAAACGTATTTTCAAGTCTTTCTGGAGCTATAAATAAATTAATAATTGATGTCTTTAGTGGAATGCAAGGTATATAAACACCTATAAAGCGAAATATGTTATAGTGTTATATAAACATATATATATATAGTTTATGTTAAGTAAAGAAACGTTATATATATATATATATATATATATATATATATATATACAGGGCCGGTCTTGCCTTGCATGCGATGCATGCAAAAAATGCGCCCCTGAGGGGGCGCCAAAACGAGTTTCGGAAATTAAATTTATAATATAATATTTATATTTTTTATATAAAATCTAGAATTATTTATTTAAAATCTAGAATACTTAATAAATTTTAATAAATAATTTAACTTAACTAGTGATACGGAGACACAAAAAGCATATTTATTTTGCAATGTGATATCAGTAAAAACAATTAACCAATTAATAATTCTGCAAATTAGTAAATAACAGCTCTGTTTATTGCTTAATCTACTTATTCATTTTTTTCTTTGTTTGAAGTTACCGTGGAATCAAAAAAGAAATTATCTAGTGTTCAATCCCATAAGCGCAAACCTGCGAAAGATTAAATTAATTGTTGGACATTATTGACGAAAAATTGCGAGCTAATTTAGTTGAATCGGAACTTGTTAAAAAATATAAACAAATTATAAAAAAATGGGTAGTCAGTGCATAGAAAATGACTTGTTTATTCCGAAAAATTGAATTGTAACTTTTGCTTTTGTTGCAAATGTTTCGCGTCTGATGAACTTTGAATGTTGAAGACATGCGTGGAACAAATATGAAAAATTGAAGCAAAATTTACTTTGGAACGAAAATCTTAAGACTTGTTTTATACCTAGTGGTGTTCATACTCCAAATTTAATAATTATCAACTATACAGAAATGATACATATCAAATATAATAAGTTTTTTTCAATATTGTTCAAGAAATGTGTAATTTCTTTGCATTTTTTACTGATTTTTGAAAACAATACTTCTAAAATACGTTAAAAATTTAACTTTAAAACAACAAGCTGATACTCTGAATATGACGGATCTTACGATATCAATAAGGAGAAGTTTACGGTCGCAATTTTGGATATTGTAAATGATGAAAAATTAAATTAAATTAAAATTTAAAAAATCCAACATGAAATACGAGTGTTATGTTTGAAAATTAAATGCTAGTTTTTTTAAATTTTAATATTGCACAAACGTTAAAAATAATTGAAAATTTCAAAATACTTGATTATAATCAACCCCCGAATCGCCTCGATTTCCTAAATAAATTTAAATTCAATATATTTTATACGCTTTTAGATTATATCCAATTTTTTGTGCACTAAATCCAGAATAATTATAAATTTATTTCACTTAATATTTTTGTTAAATTAAAGTTATAGAATTTAAGAAATGCATAAAAGAAATAGTATTTATTATTTTGATATCAAGATCTTTATATCAAAATAATAAATACTATTTCTGAAATGGATTTCTTAAATTCTGTAACTTTAATACAACAAAAATATTAATTCTTTTGCTATAGTAGTCCAACTTACATCCTTAACCAATTTACTACATATTGAATATTACAAAAATGTGAAACTATGACAGGGATTGTTTTATTTATTGATATCGATAATAATAAATAAATTTAAAATCAATATATTTTATACCCTTCTAGATTATATCTAATTTTTGGTGTACTAAATCCAGAGTAATTAAAAAATAATTTTTAAAAAATATGTAAATACTTATATAATTTTAATGATAAACTGTTAAAACGGTGAAAATTAATAGAGGGTGGGGGCGCTAGCAAAAAAGTCGCATGCGGGCGCTAAGGACTCCAGGACCGGCCCTGTATATATATATATATATATATATATGCAATCTATTTTCTAGATGGCTGACGCGTTTCTATCGAACGCCCGGGACACGATCCCCATGCAAACAACGGAAAAATATTGTTTGGGTAGCGAGAAGGAGTCTATTCCGCCTGGGACAATGAATCAGAGCAGCAAGCTGGATAAAACTCAAATAAACAGTCAGGTCAAGAGGTCCAGGCAATTGCGAAATGCGGCCAAAATTCAACAACAAAAACAGCAAAGTGAACAGGAATCATTAGGTAATATTAGGAAAAACAAATCAATCGTTCCGCTTATTTAATTCTTTTTTATGATCCTAGTTTTGGCTAAGGAACATGTTTTATTCTTCTTTTTGCAAGTAACCTTGAAGTAGGCGTTTTCAATTAAAAGGTTGGATTCTCTATTAAGTTGATGCTGTGGTTAAGGATATGTTTATACAAGAAAAAGTATTTTTTTAAAGCTGTTATTTCTTCAAAATATGTCGCAAAGGTTTTTTAATTCTATTTTCAATAGCAATCAGAATACATGACAATTCTATGAGCTATTTGGCTTATGTCACTCACTCACACACATACACACACACTTGCAAACACACATATAAATTTATCGGATAAATATTACAATCATATTTAGAGAATCACTTCAATAAGTGATTCTAATATTCTGTTCATATAGGTTTTGTGTAGTTCTAAGGTTCCTCCATATTATCTTCGGCAGCTTCTTCTTCAGTCTTCTTGAAATTGGTGTCATTAAATAAAACATCTTTCTGTATTTTATCTTTCTAAGTAAAAGTGCATTAAATTCAAATTTTTAGACATTAATATCAAAAAGTATTTAAAATGGTTTGTACGTATTTTTGTAAGTTTAATGACCAATTTGCAAATAATATTGTTTTAAAAGGTGGCAGGTCCGATTTGGAAAATTGGACCATATATTGTGTCAACAGTTGATGCAATGGTTAAGGATATTTTTTCATGAAAATTATTTTCAAATGATTTGTTTTAAATATTGTTTTTTTTTTTTTAATTATGTAGCCGAGACTTTTTCCATCTAAATTAAATAAAACATTTTCTGTTTTTTATCTTTCTAAATAAAATTGCATTAAATTGAAATTTTTAGACATTAATATCAAAAAGTATTTTAAAATGCTTTGTGAAGTTGAATGATCAATTTGCAAATAATGTTTTAAAAAAGTGGATTGTCCAATTTAAAAATTGCAGCCTCTATTGGGTCAACAGTTGAAGCGTTGGTTAAGGATATTTTTTGTATGAAAAATTATTCTTAAATGATTTGTGTTAAATGTGTTTTTAAATATGTAGCCAAGGCCTTTTCCATCGAAATTAAATAAAACATTTTCTGTTTTTTATCTTTCTAAATGAAAGTGCATTAAATTATTAAAAAAAGTTATATATTGATATAAAAAGTATTTTAAAATGCTTATAGCATGTTTTTTGCAAGTTAAATGACCAAACGTTTTCCTTAAATTAAATGAAAACGAAAACAAACGATAGATTTTGTCCAATACTTATTTTCACCATATAAATATACTTAAAACTCGCATAACTCGCATTAAATTGTATTTTGAATAATTGTTTTTATGATTTTACTGGCAAACCCGACGAACTCCGTTTCGCCACCAGATAGTTTCGTGTGAAAGATGAAGAAATTTTTGTTTGTTTTTATTTGAAAAGGAAAAATTTGATTTTATTACACAACAAACAGTAATTCGATTACAAAAATCGAAGTGTTTTTTAGTTAAACTTCTCTAAGTAAATGAAAGTGAATCCGCAAATTATCCGTTTCATTGAAGTACTCTTTGGTAAACCACGTTTTTTGTTTTTTGGTCTGACGTTAACGCAAACAAAGCGGATGGTTTTTCAACTCGTGAACAGGCAACATATAACTGCTCATGTGAAAAACAATGATTTTCTAAATAATCTATTTGAAATTTATCCCGCAAACAATAAGCCTTGCGACTTGTTATTGCGAACGCAAGGCGAACTGGAAATTGCAATCGTTTGAAGTCCAATGGAAGACCAGACGGAATCATTGGTATGTCACCAAATTGCCAGCAATTTTTGATTGAATGGTGAAATTCAGTGCGTGTACATATTATTATTTGCAGGAAGAATTGCTCGTTGACTTAACCAACCATAATTCTGATGATTCTCACTAATGTCATTACTCGAATTTTTAATTACGGTGCTTGAAGTTCCAGCAATTTGCATTAAGGCACGATTCCATGCACCATTAATTTTCTTAGCTATAAACCTTGCCCGAACCTTTCCAATGAATGCAAAATTGTCGAAATCGGTTCGTGCGTTCTGGAGTTATATCGTCAGGAAGGAAAACCCGACTTATATTTTATATATATATATATATATATATATATGTAGATAATCATTATATTTACTTTATTATTTCCTAAAACGCGTACGTAGATCCCGAATATTAATAACTCAAAATTATTCTATAAATCATACTAATAGTGAAACCGAATAAAATTATGATAATAGTTCTTTGGGAAAAGATGATGCACTTAACAAACTGTTTAACCGATTTGTTAACCGATCCATAAAATTTTAGTTTATAAAAGTTAATGACTTTGCTTGAAATATAAACTGCAATTAATTACAGTTTATAATAATTACACATTCACAGTTTTAATTTTGAAAAAAAAATGAAATCGCATGGGAGCTTCAGACGTACATTTAACTAATCTCATTGGTGGAACGAATTCAAGCATTTGAAGCAATGTATATAGTTTCTACATACAATCCGTCTAATATTGAGCTTTTATGAGATTAAAATAACTTTGATGGCATTTATTCAATAGACGTATTTTCAGATGGATTTGACGTTTACAATATCGAGACGGCTATGCCAGTTATTGATTTGGATGCGATCGAAGCACACCTCAAGGCAGCTAAGGAGGAAGAAATGAGGGTAAGAAATTATTTTATTAATTTATATATATATATATATATATATATATTTATATATATATATATATATAAGTCCAATTGCTTTTTAACGTGTTCTAGCAACTAGTTTAATTTCGATTTCTTCTAACTACTATAAAACTTCTTTAAGTTTGAAAGTTTCAAACTTTCTGCATCATTGTACTGTGGATTAAATGAAGCACTTTGAATTCTGTGCTATAAGTATACAACATACTCGGAAGAGGAAAAAAACGAAAGCCACCAAAGCAAATAATATTAATCTAGATTCATGCACATAGTTTTAATTTTATATGATTCGCTTCGCTTAATCTTGCGATTTGAACAGGGTTAGATGAGTATATATCTTTTGATATTAGTATTAGGTTAGTAATATATCTGCATATATCATATAACAGGAGTAGACTCAAAGGTCTTACTCTAATAATTTTTTATGAAGGCTTTTTCATCATACAAATTTTCTTCAAAATCAAATCGTCAAAAACAGCTTTTTTATTAATGATTTACAATAAAAAACGGCCCGCCGATTTTCACTAATATCTAATCACACTATTCCCAACTTATATCTTTCAAACGATTTTACGTATTTTGCACTTTTCTGCTAAAGAAACGACTCGGCGGATCGTTGCCAATAACTAATCGACGCGAGTCCTCATCGATTTTCATCGTATGGTTTTCACAATTTTTGAAATCGGTGCTATAAAAATGACGACCAAAGGTTCAATTTTACACACCTTACTTTCAATTTTGGTCTCAAATGATTCAGAATGACTTGAAACGCCGAGAATACGTAAAACTAGTATATCGGATTTTCTGGAGAATATATGAACATCTTCTACGGGATGTTAGATGATATAATGGAAAATATCAGTAGTCCCCAAATCCATTTGTTAAAGGCGTCCATGATGATAGTTATATTTTTTTAAACATAGATAATATATGAATATTAAATAAAATATATATTTTGTAAATTATTGATTATACTATTGAACCCTGTTATTGAAACGTGTGAAGATTCGTCACGTTTCTAAACAAATTTTATTGACAGTTTTCACTAATTCAAAGAAGCAGTTAATTCATCATTGAACTCGTAACGATATTCAAGAGAGTGATATAGATTGATTTTAAAATTAAAATTTGGTTGAGAATCGACCTGATCAGTTTTTGGTAAAGATCGGCCGGGCCGTTTTCTTTGTAATAAAGTGTTAAAAAAAAAATTCGACGATTTCATGATTTTTTTTTTGTGATAGATATCATGGTCTTCTAGATCATATTAAATTATTACGGCCCTACGACAAGTCATTTAATTTTGAAAATTCGTCAAAGTTTGCAAAAATTAGTATCGTTTTTTGGCGTTTGTCAAAATTAGAGCTTTCATCGACGTTTGCTCAAAAACGCCTGAACCGATTCCAGAAATTTAAAAGCCATTTGATGTATCTCGATGAGGATTATCGTTTGTCAGTTTA